TATCATTTCAATTCTTGTTGATATGTAGCTTTATTCCTTTGTGGTCAGATAATATGCAGGATATTATTTCAATTTTCATAAATTTGTTTAGACTTGCTTTGTGTCCTAATGTTTGGCCAATTTTAGAGAAAGTTCCATAAATGTACATTCTTCACTGTTTGGATGAAATGGTCTATAGCTGACTGTTAGATCCATTTGATTTATGATGTCATTTAGTTTCAGAGTTTCTCTATTTAGTTTTTGACTGGATGACCTCTCTACTGGTCAGAGTGAAGTATTGAAGTCACCCACTATTGCTGTGTTGGGCCACGCTGTCTGTAGCATGCTTATCTACAAAATTGGATGGCACCTTCTTAGATTGCTACCTCTGCACACTATGCACATCGTGAGCAACACTGCTCTTTAAGACACCCTTGTGGTCCACTATTTGGCCAGTCCAGACTTCAGAGTACAATACTAGGATATGCTGTTCTATCTTCACTGCTCACTTCTCTTTTTGCTTTTTATGTGCTAACCTAGCTCCTTTATCCAAATACTTTATTTTGAGTTCACCATCAATTCCAATGCTTAAAGAAAGTTCAGTTTGTCATGAGATACGAGGAAAACTCTGAGACTCCCTTTTCCCTGTACTTTTCAGGTTGAAATCAAAACACATTTGTATGTTAACGATGAGTCTTTTAAGTGAGTCTTACCATGCTGAGAATAATTTTCTTTGTTCACCACTACTATAGATGGAATATTAGACACCACATTACCTTCTATTTTAAAAGAAGTCATTTACTTCTCAGAATGATCTTTATGAATTGTAGTAGATTCAATATTGAAAACTAGATGTACAAACCTAGTAATTAGGCATTCAAGAAATAAATGCTAGCAGCAATAAAACATGGTCAGAATATGTAGAAAAGGAAATAACATTGAGTGTGTTGATAACAGAATTCTTTTGAAGATGGTTAGAGCTGATATGGGTCAAGAATGGAACCAAAGAATGAAAATGAAGATAAATGAACCTAGGCATCTACTGATAATACATTTTCAATGAAGACAGGTGAAATGCAAAAGTTTTGATTTTGATTTTCACTGACATTCATGTGAGTGGAATATTCCTTCACACTGTGCATATATGTTGCCGTGAATGGTTTAATAAAGAAGCTGACTGTCCAATAGCTGGACAGGTAGAGGTAAGGTAGGACTAGTAAACAAAGAGGGCATATGAAGAAGAGGAGTTGTCTTTAGAGTTGTGAGGAGATGGAGAGGAGGCAGAAGATGAACTTGTTGTAAGAAAAGGTACTGAGCCACATGGCAGAGCATAAGTAAGAAATATGGGCTAATTTAAAATGTAAGAGTTAGCTAATGACAAGCCTGAGATATTAGCTGAGCATTTATAATTAATGTAAGTCTCTGTGTGGTTATTTGGGAACTGGTTGGTGGGAAAGAAAAGTCTACCTACATACCTGTAATTTTAACTTTCAATAATTATTTTTGTAATCCATGGTAATTTAAAAAAATCAAGTTTCTTGCTAAAGAATATGTAGTCTCCAATTGTTTGCGTGATATTCTATGTGAGTCTGGCATGTCACTCCAACAATCTTCTTTGTGTTGACTTAAGTAAACATGCACCTTTGGGAGAAGAGATTTAATATCCAGTTAACTCATTTCTATCCCAATTTAATTCATTATTCTTTACAAGTTATTTTATAATAATTTTCATACAACACAGGCTTGTTTACATTTGATTTCTTTGTGACTTTAAAATATTATATATAAAAAAAATAACAAAAAAACCATTTCAAACATAGCTGATGCTTCCTTCTAGTTTTATTTAAAGCATACACCTCTTTCTCTGTGCATGAAATTTTCTTACATTAAATAAGGTGATCACAGCATAAATCCCATTATCTCCTGTGTTCCATGTGCAATGAGATGTAAATAAGGACATGCTTCTCTGAGACCTCAGAAATGAAATCATTATGGGAGAAAAATCAGAGAACTGAAATAATCCGAACACCTCATGGTGATATAGTCCCATACTGCCATGACTTTGTACATATATTTCTTATAAACTTTGATAGCTAAAAGGACACAAGTAAAAAAAATGGGCTAACTTCTGTATTTGATATTAAATAAAGTTAATAAAGAATTAATCTTTGGGTCATCTAAGTGCAAAACTATAGTCCATCATCACATATTTTCAATTCAGCCCCCATATTTGAATACTTTTAGAGATTTTAAGTGTGTCTACTGATATATTAACCTGGAAAGTTATTATTAGAGCTAAACATGTACTGATGTTTAAACTACAAATGTTAAATTTTGACTACAGAACGATATTATAATATGTATATTTACTATATTTTAAGAATGTGAAAATCATTGAGATGCCAACTGACAATTATATTGTGTATATATATATATATATATATATATATATATATATACATATATATGGATGAACTCTACTATCTCTTTAGTATGCCTAGAATTTACCAACTAGTCTTTAGTGGAATTGTAAAGAAATTCTGAAAGAGAAGTTGATAAAACTAAATGTTAAATGAAGAATAAAATAAAATTCTGGCTTCATACCTCAAAGAATTAGGAAAGAAGATAGAACTAAGCTCACTTACCATGAAGAAGGACAAATGATTAGTGCAGAAGTAAATAAAATATAGAGTATAAAAACAATAGAAGTCCAATCAATTACCTAAGAGTTGAGATTCTTACAAATTTACACAAGTTGAGTTGGCAGAGTAGAAAAAAGATGGTAAGTTTTGATAATAAAATCAAAATGCAAAAAGAAACATTATAACTGATATTACAGAAATACAAATGATTGTTAGGTTACCAGAGTCATCACATACCAACAAATCAATGTACAAAATGAAACTTTCTAGAAATATAAGTCTAATGAGAGTCACAAATTAAACCAGTAATTAAGAGACTTTTAATTACTGCTTCCTCTTTCAGAGGACCCACATTCAGCTCTCAGTACCACAAGTTGGCTTATGACCATCCATATCTCCAGTTCCAAGGAATCTCATGCCCTCTTCTGATCTCCAGGAGTACCAGGGATGTACTTGGTACACATACATAGACCAGGAAAAACAGTCATATACATAAAATAAATAAATAGGGGAAACCTAGACAACTACTTAGTGGTAGTGAAGTCATAGATATTGGAGGAGAATTTAGAACCACTGTTTTACTAAACTAGCACAACCTCAAATAACAATCTCAGCATTTTTCCTTATATCCATAGACAATTATAGTCTTCACCCTTCATCAAGGAAACTTCTTTTGCAACAGAGACCACTACAGAAACCACAACTAATCAAAATTCAGAGTTGGGGGTACAGGTCTAATGGATACATCTACAAAACACTCCTGCACCTAAGGCTCAGGGAACATTTCTGAAGAATGACAGAATGTTTGTAAAAACCAGAGAATCAAAGAGATTGCTATGAGATGTGTCTCAGAAGTTACTGCCCAAGCGTGAGCTGAACAAGGACAACAGCAATAGACATGTCAAAATGGATGAGAGGAAGACCAAGAGGCCTCAACCCTACACAAAGAACTACAGGCCACTGAAGGGTGCTGTGGGTGTGAGAAATAGCTTAGGGAAGAAAATACCAACTGGTTATCCACTACCAAATGGTCAACTCTGAAAAAATGCATCCACGTAACATTACACAGAGAGAGCAGATTGTGTTTAGGAATATACATTTATATACAGATGTGAATGCAATAACAATTGATGAAAGAAGAGGCCATGAGTTTGAAAGAGAGCAAGAAAGGTATATGGGAGGGAGGAAAGGGAAGAGGAATGATACAATTATATTATAATCTCAAAAAAGAAATATCCTCAACCTAAAGAAACTCAGGACTTCCTGATTTTGCTGATGATCAAACAAATATTGAGTGTGTTAATATTAATTTGCCTCAAATTCCTCCAAAAAGCTGAAGAGGGAGTAAGAAATAAAGTTCCAAACACCTGTTATGAAGCCAGCGTTATCCATCCTTTATAAATATGGGCATAAAACCCCTCAGGTGTTATACCTTAAATTATCTTGTAAGCCCCACCTGCCCAAAAACCAAGTATCATTCTGGGATTCTGGGAGTTGTATTCTTGAAAAATAACAGCAAAGCTTCATTGGATAGTATGGTGTCTTTTGGATTTTGTCCATACAATCCCTGAAAACATGTGTCTTTGGGCCACTTACCTGGAAAGTTTCCAGGTGGTGGTCCTGATCAAATTTTATCTTGGTTAGTATTTAATATTTTAATAAAAGCTTGCTTTAATTTGGCCAAAATGGTGGAACTGGTTTTTCTCCGGCGAATCTCAGAATTAACAAGGAGTGGGAGACACTAGCCAAACAAACCCAACAGTATATGAAAAATTTCTTGTCCGTGCTCATACAGGATTTATCCCAAGGATGCAAGGATGGTGCAGAATCTGAAAACCATTGATATTTACAATGTATATTTATATTTTATATTTATAATGTTAAAAAAGTGGATGAAGAATTAAAATAATCTAATTGTTTAACTGTGTGCACAAAAAACTTTCAGGAACAGCCAACATCTTCTCATGATAAAAACTCTTCACAAATTAGGAAAAAATGAAAAATATGCCAACACAATAAAAACAATACACATTCAACCCACAACTAACATCATATTCACCGGTGAAAAGTTCCCAAGAAATCAAATTGTATCAAGGAAAGGATTTGAAATGTAGATTTTAATGCAGTTTCAGGAAACATATTGTGCTCATAGAGAATATAGCCATGAGCTGGGTGTGGTATTACACACCTTCAATCCCAGCAATCCAGAAGCAGAACAGAGAAATCTCTGTGAGTTCAAGCCCAGCTTGGTTTGCATAACCAGTTCTAGGCTAGCTAAGAGCCTGTTTGGAAAAAAAAAAGTCCTCATGATTTAGATTTAAAAATGTAACTTATTTGACAACACTGATGTTACTGTAAAATGTACAAAGAAACACATACTGGGTTTAGAAGGATTGTGAGGAAAAGTTCACCTCCTTTGATACTTTTATCCAATTCTTGGGGTCCTCCTGGATACTCCTTGTAGAAAATAGTATGTGTAAACAGCCCACAGGTCTGTCGAGGGAGGACCTGATGACAAAGAGTAAAAGCAACACACTGGTGAGATTTACCTAGCAACTGTTACCATTACCATAAATTCACAGTCAGCAAAGAGTTCTTGGTGTCTGACAGTAACCAAGAGCTCATGTCAGTTTAATTTTGTAAATGTCAATGTAGTCACCGAATCAAAGAAATACAATTTCGAATTTAGCATATGCACCCAGTTAACTGAGTTCCATAAATCTAAACTACTTCCTGACTAAGGGTTAAGGAGTCAAAAGTTGTCTTGGGGTTCATTTAGTTCAGACATATATCATGGTCATACTTCTCATCAAATCAAACTTCACTTTGCCTTCTGATACTCAGTCTTGTGGAATATGCAGGTTCTGAGACTCAAAGTCACCTTTTCTCACCACCTCTATTGTACCCTGGCTTTAAATTTTATCTCAGTAGTAGTCAAACCACTTAATGACTGTTTCTGGAGTATTTTTGTGTTGAGTTTGCTGTAACTCTGGATGTTCAATAGACAAGACAAATAAGCAAATTGACTCTAATATCCTATTTTGAATAATAAAGTATTTATAGTCTAGTGGAAAATGCACCCAGTTCCACAAGAAAGCTGTGATTGTATTCATTCTTCATTTAATTTTCATAATTAAATTCAAGGTAAATGAAAGCATGTAGTCTTGGCTAAAAGGATGATTTCCTTTCATGACATGTTGGGTGATCACACAATGAAAGAATTTTAGTACTCTCTCTATTTTTAAATTTATGTAAATGAGTCTTTTTATGCTTCCTGATTTCTGTAGACTTCAATTGCTGTTTGTGGTATCAATGATTTCAGGTAACAATCTGTGTCCACTGGTGCCGTATTATAATGATGAGATGATTAAAGCCCCATGATAAAGTTACTGAGCTCCAAATCTGGGTAGCTATAGATTCCTGTCTCTTGTCTTTAGATGGAGATGAGATGTGTATATATATATATAGTTGTAGCAGCAATATGAGTAATAGTGTGGGTTAGTGCAAATATTGAACAGAAAAAAGATTATAAACTCTTGCTCTGATCTTGACAACTAATGGTGGGTACATCTTCAAAGGCACCTGGAACTGGATAAAACTGGCCATTTTAGAACCAAGGGCATAGTGCCACCTCCCCCCACCCTGATGAGTGATGCTAAATTTCCAGCTCAAATTCATGTGGTGTTACTCTCATTTATCATAATGGATACATCATTCTTAAATTAGGTTATTACTTTTTAGCTATATACAAGGAAAAGAACAATGTGCCACCTTTCCCTGCAATTTACAAGAAAAAGAGAACAAAAATAAACAACACTCTAAGATGCTCTGAATGCCCGAGAATCAAAATACACTGGACAGATGGATTTAGCTTTCAGGTGGTATTGCTCCCTTTTATCTATTGGTAGTGAAATTACTGGAGAGGTGTTTTTTTGACCTATAGCACAGCATCCTACCTTTAGCTCTTGGTAAAAACCACACAAACAAACAGTACTGTGGAGTTCCTCAGGAGCAACTTAGGTGCCCCAGACCAAGTTCAATTTGAAAGTATCAATGGATAATCTATGCAAAACTCATTCCCATTATTTCCAGATTGCTATATACTCAGTAAAACCACTTTACAGCCTAGAAAACATGCCTATTGTCAAACAGTATGTCATTGTGTGACCAGTCACCTTCATGGCATGTTGGAAACTTCTGAGAGTCATGTCAAAGAAGTTCTGTGTTACATTCTTAGACAGAATGTTGATCCCTTCCCTTAAACACAGGCACCAAGGACCTTCAGGCACAGCAGTATGCGCTCACCATGATGCTATTGTGAATGAAGCCCTTCCTGTATCTTGCAGGTTTCAGATGTGGATACTCTTCAGTGCTGGTGACCTGAATACCCCAGACCTTCTTCCAAGCTGCATACAGCTGAATATGGACCGGGTAGACCCCTGAGTGATGTGGGGCCACTGCATAGCCCAGGTTGGTCGGTATTCCATGTTCCTAAAAAAAGTCAGAAGAACACCATCATGGAGTGGGGGCAATTGGATTAATTAAAAATCTTTATATTTATTTGGCATATATATTGAGATCCCCAGTAAGTAAGAGGGAATTAAAAAATAGGAAGATGGAGCTTTTACGGTTTCTTCAGTTCATCAGCTTCATAGAGATCTGATACTACTTTAATGAATGTAGTACATACTTTGGGTTTGTTCTGTGTGCATGAAATTAAGCTTGAAATTTAAATGCATTAAGTTTGAGGGGATGATCGTGTTGTGATTGACTGTCCTCTAAGTGAACCAACCACTGTCTTGGGGCTTTCAGGTGTTCCCCTTGCAAAAGATCACCCCAGTTGGGCCTGCTGATGTTTTACATCCCTCAACACCAGTTTGGGAAAGGGCATGCAATTTTCACTTAAGTCTCCAGTTTCTCCCTACTACCTGTTACATGCAACTCTGCATTAATTGCATATGACCTTCTCTGGAAGGGATAGTGTATATATAGGCCAGGGAAGACTGGAGCACCATGTATGAAGTATGTGACAGGGCTCTCACCCCTGTCAGATAAGGCTTTTCATATGCTGCCTGTTGGGAAAGGAAAACCCACATTCCTTTAGGGAACTCCTTAACTGTCCTGTTAGGGATCCCAATACACTTATTGACTCTCCATAGTGAACTCTGGCAGAATCACGCCTTTGTTTGTCATTGGGACCTCAAAAGAAGGGGTGGAGCATTGTTTATTGCTCACCTGGGAGGGAATTTTAGCTACAAATAGAAATTGAATTTTGTCCCTTATCAAGTAGATGAAGCAAAAATAAAAATCTGTAACTTGAGAAATTACCTAACACAGAAAATATAGACATAGAAGTGGAAGATGGAAGAATACTCTCTCTTCTCTCTCTCTCTCTCTCTCTCTCTCTCTCTCTCTCTCTCTCTCTCTCTCTGTGTGTGTGTGTGTGTGTGTGTGTGTGTGAGATGAGAGGTTTTTTTTTTTTTTTTTTTGGCTTGGATTTAATAGGAGTTGCTACAATGTGTTATTCACATTAAGAAAGAACTAGTGGAATGCCAAGATCAAAGTTATATGTTAAGGAGTTATTTCTGTGCTAAAAGCTAGATGAAAACAGGTAACAAAACAGACAGTAAGGAAAGTTAGGCCCAAAAGTATTTTGTATGCAGAGGGTAAAGGGAAGGTAAAAGTTAGGATCTCACCCTTTGTCCTAAACTTTAGAAATTCAATTTACTGTACAAGGCATACACTTTACTGGGAGGTGTTTGGGTAAATAGTCAACTCTAAAGGACTACAGGTATACATCTAAAGCAAGAATATGAAAACATTCTCAGTCATTGTGTTATATTTCTAGGTGTGTGAAATAGATATAGTTTTCTAATTTCTTCTTTTATAACTTTCACTTTAGATGCTTATCTGACTCATAAAATTTCCTTGTAGGGCTGAATCTCATCAATTGAGCTTATAAATGAGGATACAAAGTCAGATATGAAAGTTGATTGAATCAATAAACTGAGCTGGAAACTGTTGACAGTTGCTGTTCATATTGTCTGTTATAGACACACAGCACGAGGAAAGAATTCAGTCTTGGATGAGAAGCAAGCAGTAAGTGGATCACAGACTTCAGCGCAGCACCCACACACTGCACTAGTCCCAAAGATGGGCACTTAATAGTTCATATCACTTTCATTTTCCTTTCATGGAACGACCCTCATTGTGTAGCCAAATTCAATTCTTTTTCATCAAGACTGTTTTCTAACATCTATTATAAAAAATGACTCATAAAAATACTGAATTATGAAATCAATGCTGTAAAATGAGCTAGAGCCTTTTCCTAGACATGAGGGAAAACCTTTTTTTTTTTTCCAGTACTGGTAAAGAAACATATTTCTTACAAAAGCCCTTTTCCTGTCCTCCTCTCTCCTCCCCTTTCCTTCCCACTGCCCTCTCCCTTCCCCTCCCCCCATCCTTATCTTCCTTTTCCTCCCCTCCCCTCCTTTCACCTTCTCTCCCTTCCTCTCCCCTCCATTCCCCTCAACTCAGTTCCCCTCATCTCCCACTCCCTCCCCTCCTCTCCTCTTTAATCTTTGTGGTACTAGAAATTGAATCTCATTCCCCATTAATGCTAAGTGAACCTTCTATTACTGAGCGAAATCCTGACCCTAAAACTTGTCTTTTCTGTACAGGACTAAACTGGAAAACTCCAGTAATAGAAGTACTTGGGAACTGACCAATGAGGCAGCTGCTCTGCAGCCTGGACCCATTGCAGGGTCTTTTACTGAACAGCTATTAGCCTTAGTTTTTTTTCGTCTGGTCTTCTGCCTGGTAAATGGTTAACTGTAATGAAGATGAGTGATCACCCAGAAAACAAGGGGTCCAGCCCAGTATCCCACTGCCAATGAAAGAGAGCTGGACTTCCTCAAGAGAGAAATCTAGGCATGAGGGTATTTAAACTGCTTTGACGGGTAAGTTAGAATTGGTACGGATCTTTTGCCTGGGAAGGTATTTCTGACTCACAGCAAAGGGAAAAATGTCTCCTACTATGTTGTTATTCTTGCAACTGCTTTGTAAATAGAATTTCCAAGTCTCCTATAATTTAGTAAGTGACAAAACAACATGGTGGGAATCCTAATATTCATCAATAATACATTTGTTGGTCTCATTCTCTACTGTGGTGTGATGCTTTATTCCAAATGTGAGGTCTTAGATGTTAGATAAATATGGCAGTGTCATAGAAACAAAGAGATAAAAAAACAAAGTCTGTAAAGAGAACTGAAATAACAAACAACTATATTCATCCTACAAAAAAAGCACTTCACTTTTGATATATAGTAAAAGGAATTGTGGAACTTTTCATGAAAAATTAGGAGGGAAAGCAATTGAGTAGGAAGGAAGGGTCAGTAAAAAAAGATTTTATTATACTTATTGATTTCCGGGGGCTCAATGTATTACTATCTGGAAGGGCATCCTTTTGCAGGGGCAACTAGAGCTCAATCAAAATAGTAAATCACACTAGGTAATTGTGAGTTTATACTTTTTCAATCAAAATGATAACAGAAAGTGAAAAGTAATTCCCTGGTAGCTCTTTTCCTGTTATCAAGGGGCTTAGTGAACTAGAAAGCTTCATTCTTAACTGTCCACAGCTTAGAATCCAATTCACAGAGAGCTGGTCAACTAAAACATAAGCTAAATGTCGTATTTACACAAGATCATAAAAATTACAGACTTGGGAAGGCTTTTCCATGTAAATATAGAAAACACTCAAACCCTATAAGATAGACATAAATGATAGTTGAGAAAACAAAATTCAAGCATAGCTTTTATGCTTGAATCATGCAGGATGAAGAAGATTTAAGAACACAGGCACCAAAAACATGTAATATACTAATAAGCAATCACAAGGACAGGCTTTAAAAAGTGACATCATTTCAACGACGTTTCAGAATGGCATGCCTCGCCAGCATTCACAGGACTTGGTCATGATCACATTTTTCCAGTTAAATTCCCACTTCTTGCAGGGGTGGTGGTGGTGGTGAGACAACGGGGTTAATTGTTGCTATATGTGATAAGATCATTTAAAAAAAAACTATACAATAAAATGTATTTAACACTAGAGCTGTCAACAGCACCTGAAATGAAGGCCCTTTCAAAGCAATCCCCAAGGGTCATGTATTCCTGGCAACGGATGTGTACCTGGCATCTAGTAGATGTTTTCCAGTTTATTCCTGATGTGACCCTATTACAAGGACTGGAGCCTATCCAAAATGTGGAGAGTGAGGCTAAGAGAAAGCATCGGGCTTTTTCATGTTAGCAAGTGTGAGAGCTGGAATCACCTCTGGGCTCCCTACATTCAGTATCTACTGCTTTTCCAATGTCAGCTTCTACTGTGACCTAATGGAATTGACTCAAATATATAGTATGGAAGCAAAACACCTCTCTATTATATATATTTTTTTCTTGGTAAAATGATATGAAGTAAAACTTTCCATTTTAAAATCTCCTTTGCTGCTAGCACTTTTTAATGTAAACGAGTTTCAGCTAATTAGGAGTACTCAGGACAGCTTCTGGAGGGCACCAGGAAGCGAAGGTTAAATTCTTGTTGGAAAGTAAGACCTTGAAAACAAGACAACCTGCTAGCAGTTTTGGTGTATATTTGCAGGCTAACAGAAAGCCCACTGCTTGAGACTTAGCTCTAATGGTCTCTTTCAGATACAGGAGACCCTGGGGGACCAGTTCTCTATGGCTCCTTGAGTCCTGAGAAGTTCAGCTGACAATCTGCCCTTCTGCCCTTAAAGAGTTTTTGAAAGCCCTCAAGGCACTGAGTCAAAGCTGTCCGTGTTAAAAATAGTGTGATGTTTTTAATTTGGAAACCTGATGGGAAGAGCTGGGTTTGCATTTTCTAATGCACAGAACAGGTTTAAAAGATTGAGGTAAGGCATCTAATGGTCTGAATTTTAGGAAAACAGGAGAAAAATAAAGAACTGTACAGTACTTATTTTTATTAATTTATATTTATATCTTACTTAGATGATTGATATTGGTAAACATCTATTTTTCTACCTGAGTAAACTATATATATATATGAACATTTTATGTGTGTATAAATATGTGTGGGAGGAGAGATTGTATAAATACATGATATGCATGCATATGATGGCTGGATCTTATGCATTGGGTAGCCAGCAGGTAGGATACAGTAAGTGAATAGGAGACTTCTGATGATTTCAATGATAAACACTAGAGACATACCCAAACAATTAGATTTGCTGGACTTGGTAGCATATAGCTGTAATCTCAGTGTTTTGGAAGCAGAGGCAGGAGGCTAATCTATTCAAGTTTATACTCTGCTATATAACAAGTTACAGGTCAGAATGAGTTACACCAGGCTCTATTTCTAATAATCAGACAACAAACAAAAAATTTAATTTCTCTACACTCAAAATAATTACTTTTGAGTTCCTGATTTGTGTCAAATGTTTTGTTCAGTTTTAGGGATT